GGAAAGAGAATTCAATGCCTAAATATGAAGCAGGCCATGCTACTTGGCATCAAGGCCAGAGAATCGTCCTTGCTCATTTTTATTTTGTAATGTCTCATTTGGAGATATACAATTACTTAATATGAGATTTGGCCAGTTAACTTTTTTTTTTTTTTTTTTAAATTCTGTAACTGTTTACCCTCCAAAATCATCCTGTGACCTGCGAGTGAAATGCATCTTCCCCCAAAACTAAATCCTCAGGCAGAATGTGTGACCAGCAGCATCTCTGGAGCAGTGTTTTCTTCACAACTGACATACATTTACATTTTGGAAACACAACTAAAGATATTTTTTCAGAAGCAAGTGGAATTTTAGAAGTCACCATTGCTCCAGTTAGTCATCCTCAGAAGTTCAAATGAATATGGAAAGTCAATTTAAATATTTCATTCAATGACATGTATTATTTCTTTTCAGTACTCATTTCTAAATTGCTGACTCTGCAAATGCATATGCAGCAGTGTGTGTAACATGCTCTCAAGTGTACTTGCACAACACTGTTTTTCTCAATTGAGTTGTGCAAAAGTATCTAAGTTATTTGAGTGATGGTATGTTGCAGTGGAGTTGCAATCTGAAGGATTACTCAGGAGACACTGAAGGCATATTTGGGCTTAGAGAATTTAATTAATGCTGATTTTGCACAGGACAGGCTCCTGCTTTTCTTTTAAATCCCAGTGTGAATCTGTAAGCCTGGCAGCAAGGGGGCAAAAAAAGCTTCTTCCTTTTAAACAGAGCAATGAGGACAGGTGACTTTTTCAAAGAATATATTTTCGAGCAAAACTACAATTACAAGTCAAGCAATACTTGGAACCTAAAGAGCTGCTTTGCTCTGTTCCTCAGATCAGTAGAGGAATTGGTCTGTTTTTTCACAGATGGAACTAGTGAATGTTGCCTTAGAAAGTTAATATTGTAGAGCATAGTATAGGACTATAGTTGAAGACTGCAGAATCGTTTCCTTTCCTTTTAGACTGATCTTTCAGCTGTGCTGGTTTGACACAGTATCTCAACCCTGCCTTTTGAGCCTGGCCTCTTGTTGCAACTCCTGCTGTCAACTCCCATCTTCTCCTACCGCAGCGGTAATTTGGAAATATTCTGACAAGGAGAGAAGGCAATAACAAATAGATTTCTAATTTTGCATGGTAAACAGCTTTAAAATAGATATCGGACTTTTAATAGGGAAGAGAGTGGGCCTTCTTCAGAGTCACAGGCAGAGTAAACTGATCTCTACATGGTATTTAGATTTGGACCTTACTCCAAACTCATGTTTCACATCCCATCACTAAAGTACCAGGACCTGTCTTACAGATTGTAGACCTGACCTTTTATTTACTAAGAGACAGGAGAAAGGACCACGTCCTTTGTGAAACTAAACCTGGGACAGCTTTGATTCTATTAAAAAACCAGGATACTACCTGGTTTAAGTATTTACTGTACAAAGGCAGACTTAGTCTTCCAGATATTCCCAGATATTCCTGAAACATGCTCACTACCCTAGGTCTGCCTTAAGGCATGGGGAGCCTGTGGAAGTGTGTATCTTGCCTGCAAAATGAGTGCTCTCATTTTGGACCTGCAGCTGTACTGGCAGAAAATAACAGTTGTCTGCACCAAAATAAGACTCAGTGCTAGACATAAATTGGGGTATAAGGTGAAGTGGATTTTTCACATTCTAAGAGGTTTTGAGAGATTTCTACAAATTTATAATAAAACCCCAAATCTTAAAAATGAAGGGCCTTTTTTAATTACTTAAACGCATACACTTATAAAAAGATTCATGCACTCCAGAAACACACATGTATACACTGTATAGCTATGAACAGTACAGCCACTGGGGCTAAATTAATTTAAAACAGGCACAAAGGTGAGTAACTTTTTTATTTCTAAAAAAAATTATCCCATATGAAAATGAACCTGTGCTGAGAAAATATAGTCACAACAGAGAGTACTAAAAAGCTGAGTCCAGATCTAATTTATCTTATAATTCCACTAATTAGAGACCCCTTGAAGAAAACTTTGGTTCACTATGCCTTACAGCTCCAGTGAGATTTTCTGACACTCCTTCCCCATCCTCTTACGGGGTCATCGGTGCGTGAGATCAGGGTTTTGTGGCACAAACCACTGATAACAACGGCAGATCCCCCTGCCTTCCCTCACCCACGGTCCTCCCGGTCCCCGTATGACTGGTGTTCCCACATCCCCCCTTACCATGGTGTCTCCAGTGGTGTTTCCTTCCCTTTCGGACCAGCGGTGGCAGGTCTTTGCAGGAGCCCGGCTCTGGGCTGCGGGGCGGGAGGCAGCCTGGGCTCAGCACCCGGCACCTGCTGCCGCGCTTCAGTGTCACAATGCGGTGGGGAGCAGGTCAGAGGCTCTGCAGTTCTGCCCGCTGCATCGCTGCCCCCTGCCCTCCCCGCCACCCCGCGTATGCAAATTCATCCAGACAGGCAGGGCTCAGATATACCCCAGATTTCAAATTTCGTCCCGCCCTGGTTGGGCGTGCTTATTAAATCTGAGCGTGGCCATGTAACACGTCGTACGCTATACCTTCTAGCAACTGAGTATTATCCAT